TGGAAGTCAAAACATAATACAGTTTAACCGAGTTTGTCATAAACAGGAAATCAGCTGAAATGTAATTAATGAATAAATAGATAAGTGTGGTCACATAGAGCTTCTTTTCCACTCTCGCATATGTGAGATGCCATTGTTTCTCAAGTGGTTAGTTTATTGTTTTGTCAAATTCATGAAGTATTACTGTGACTTACAAGATGAGGAAGCGAATGGTACTGGCTAATTCAGACCTCTTAGTAAATCAGAATGAGCTAAATTTGAAAAAAATAATATTCCATCTTTTTGTAATGCTTTGCATTGTCTTCTTTCCTGCTTTGTAATGTTATAATATCATTGATATTTAGATTTTTATAGTAATCTTATTTTAAATGATTTTGTATGAAACTCCATAAAAGCACCTGTACCTCTTCATTACATTATTTTTTTTAATTGACTTTAGCTCATAAAATAACTTCCATTATTTAACTGTTTTTAAGGATAAAACAAAAAAGAGAAAGAAGCACAAGAAACATGGTAAAAAGAAGAAAAAGAAGACGGCTGGTTCAAATTCAGATTCTGAATAACATTTAAAACTACAAGAATACCCTTTCAACAAAAGTGCAATGACTAAAGGAAACTTCAACTGTGAAATTATAGCAAACTTTACCAAACTGCATGAATTTTCCTGTGTTTTAGAAATACTCCTAAACTCTCAATAGCTGGACAGATGCTGCTGCGCCAGAAAAGACCATTGTTATTGCTTGCTGCTTAATACATGGAGTACAGCATTTTCTTAATTCCAGTAGCCAATGCTAGATATTTGAAATCATAAAAGATGATGGTTCAGCTGATATGTTAAATATTGGAAAATAAGTGAAACTTTTTAGAAACAAAAAGTAGTGTTTTAAACTCTAATTTTTAAACCAGCAGAAACAATCCATTATTCATCCTGAAGATGGATTTAATTCAACAGAGCTGTTGAAAGTTAGTGACTGATGTCTTTTTTGAAATGGGAATATAATGGTAACATTCTTAAACATGTTACTTTTGTAGAAATGTTTACTGTACTTCTGTCCTTTTATTTTTTTTATGTTGAGGGGGGAGCTACAATTTTGACTAGTTGAATAGGGTGCCTTTGATCTTTCCAAATCCCAGCTATTTTAATCAGTACAGCAACGATGCTTCCTCAGGAGGTCAGAACTACTGTCAGCAAGCTGTCCCTGAATAAGCAATTCTGGGCTTCTAGCATGTGCTTCGGCATTAAGCAAGAGCAGAGCAGCATAACTAACATGCAAAAATCAAGGAATTTACCTCCACTTTGAATTATGCTGAATACTGTGTTACTAAATATGCATTACATCATTTAAAGTCATTTTGAATTTTGTTGAACATTTTTGGCAAACACTGGTAGTTTTTTTTCTTTTTCCCTTGCCATTAAGATACTTAGAATTATTTTGCATGTTTGTACCATTTTTTTAAATGAACAATGTAGAGGTATTCAGTTGTAACCAGTGATTATTTTTTTATGAATTTGTTCCAGGTGCAGAGTTTCATGTATGTATTTACTTATTCTTATAGTTCATTGTTGTGTTTGAGTGCACACTTGCTGAAAATTATTTAGCATGTAAAAAGCAGGGTTTTGATATTTAAACAGCTTCATATTGAAGCTGATTTTACTCTAGGCAAGTTCAGTGACAGACCTGTTATGCGGATGTGTCTTGTTATATAAAACTACTGCCAGATTCTCAGTAAAGATACCATTTAAAAATTTTGTCTTTATATTTTTATGCTACAGAATTGTAGGGCATTAACATAAATTGTCTAGGCTAATTTACTTGCATTAGCAGCTGTTTCATAAACAAATAGAAAAGTGTTGATAAAATAGCAAATACACATTCAAAATCCAAAAGCAGTCCTTAGATTTTCTTCTTATAGATGAAGTTCTTTCTCTCTTTCAGTGAAGTCCCTATTGCTGGTTCTGTTCTTGCCTTTCAAGAGCAGGGAAAAAAGTGAATAATAATCCACATATAGCACCTATGTACTAACCATGAAAAGTGTAATAATACTTTAAAGCCAAACATTTAATTACCCCAACATTTTAATATCTCCTGTTAAATGCTTAATAATTGCAATCCATAAATGCAAAGTGGTGAGGGAGACTGGGAAGGAGTAATATTTTACTAGTTTTCTGTCAAATACATTTCTCTTCAAGCAGGTGATTGAAATGTTCTGATTTTGTCTTAAAATTCAGACTTTCTATCGCTGCTAATAATGTCTTAGAAATAAAATTATAGTCAACTACGTTGAAAACTGACGATTTTTACAACTATTGGGTCATTATTGGGGAAGAAGTCAAAGAATGGTAGAATGATCATTTTATTTCTCTTTTTAATCACTGCTTTAAATCAGCTTTGAGGCTTTGAAAAACTATTGTGAAACTTGTGCTATTACAACTTTGCATTAATTACATTATAAATACTGCAAATGGAAAGATCATATTTGAATTTTACACAACTGCTAGAGGCAAAAATATGTATCATTGAAAACAAGTGTGCAGATACTACCAACACATAAGCAAATACATAATGTCACTCACACAAATAGTCTCATTTACTTAAGCTTCCTAAACACGTACTTTCAATACGGCATGGACAAAAATGTTTGCAGCATCAAGGTCTTATATTGTATATATTTCTTAAAAACATTTAGTGGCATAAAATTGTTCTCACTTCAAAACAAAATTGCTTTAGTATTTAACACTGAAACATTCGGATTTTTTTTTTCATCCATAAATAAATGTATTGTGAGCTACACACCCGCACAAGGGGGGGGGTGTGTATTAAAATATCTTCCCCACCTCCCAAAATATAGGACCTAACATTTGGTTACTAAGAGTGAAATTTCTTTCTGTCTTGTCTATGCTCACTGCATCAGGAGGGTCATGTTTGCAAAAACAGCCAAGACTACTTTTGCTTATTAATTTTGTGCTCAACTTTTGTTCTTCTCTCAGCCAGAATGCTAATGAGGCCAACATAGATGAACATATTAACTGAATTTTTAGCAGATAAAATCTGAAATTGTACTAGAAATTAGAAAAATAATTTAAGGATCAAGAACAAAAAAATCACCTTTAAGACTATAGAATAAAAGAAAGTAAAAGTAAAATGCTATGCTTGTTTAAAATATTTTTAAAGTGTGTTTTTAATTCAACTTGCTTCAAGAAGTAATAAGGTGCTAACTTATAAAGTATTTTAATAAATGGCTAGGTTTGTGGGTTTCCAAAAATACTCTTAGAATTTTGAAACTAAATTATTGCCTTTGCTCAATGTTGTCCTTTTACATGTGATAAACATGTGTTTTGTTTTCAACACAAATCTGTTGCCTTCTCATACACAGTAGCATTCTTGATGGCTCATTTCTAAAAAGACTCAGAGATCTCAACACTGGTTGAATTGGTACACATTAAAAGTTCCTTATCCATTAGAGTAAATCCTTTTAAGTGTGGCTCTGGTAACAGTATTTTCAGTTAATGTATGCTGCTCCTGCTGTCTGCCTATGAAACAAAATGAGGAACACGTTCATTATGCCCTGCATACTTTTTTTTTCTTTGGGGAGAGGTATGGATCGTCATGTTTAGGCCAGAAGGCAGAGCAGGGTCGTACCTTATAGATCAGGGATTGTCAACCCAGGTGCCACAATACTCTGAGGTGCTGTGGAGTCCTTTTTAAGGATGCTGTGAGGTATCATGCAAGTTAGTACTATTAGGTGTGCAAACATGACTCAAGATCAACCAAGAGATTTCAAAAAGAAATCCATAGTATGAAAAACCTTAGCTGTTGTGGTCTTTCTGAGTACATTGCAACAGAAGAATTGTTCTGTTTTTCTGTAGTCAAAATGAGTGAAAATGAAGAAGTGGCATTTTTCAAGGGGGGCTTAATGGGGGATGCATTGAGTCTAAAAAGGTCAAACCACTACTGTTGTAAGGTCACTTGTTCAGAGAGGTGACATCCCTGTGTGCCTAAACCAGCTTTCCCTTGTGTGTACTTGGATGCTAAAATAAAAATGACCTGACTATCAGAGATGCTGAATACCTGTGTAAACATATCACCTACAAGAAGTTGTAAGTGTACAGACTTCTGAAAATGTATATGGGTATTTTATATACCAAACCGTAGAGCAAAGAACTTCAGATCTGTAATCTTACCAAGAGATGATGAGAGCAGTCTGTGTGTCATATATACACCATGATCCTGCACTTTGAATGTGAGTGCCTGCCTTGGCAGAAGTTCCAGGCTATTACATTTTGAGAGGGTAAGAATATTCTTTAAAGATTCTTAAATATCAGCAAACAGCCTAGCCATACTGTAATGTAAGTGGGAATGACAAAAAGAGTCAGTAGTGCTAGTAGTTGATCCCTTTTAGAAAGAGGTAGGCTGCTCTTTTACTCCTGCTCTGTACCAAACTTCGTTTTGGAAGAACTGGAGGGTTTGTGCCTGTTGGGTTGCCACTGCTGCTTGCCTCCTACTCGGGTTTGTGCCATACTTCAGCAGAGCCTTGATCGTGGTGAAGTATTTTACTGTCAAGAAGGCGGAGCTTGGTTGAGTTGGAGGTATTAAACCTAAAGCAAGGGCTTGTGAGCTGCAGCTAATAATTTCCGGTGAAAACCAGGAAGACGGGAAGGGCAAGTATAGGCAAGTAATTGTGGCTGCAGCTGTAAATGAAGGCCGGGACTTGTCCCTCCCATTTGCAGGGCTGAGACTGGCCCCGGGGGTTGTCGCGGGTAGTTCCGGCTCGGATGTGTTCGGACTGCTGCCCGGGGCCGGGGCGTAGGGCACAGGGACGCGCAGGAGCGGGGCTGGGGGCGTTGGGGCTCGACGGGCCTGGAAGCAGCAGAGGGGCTGGAGTCCGGCTATGTCCACCTGCCCGCGGGGCCGAACTGCGCATGCTCAAGCTTCCAGCTGCTCAGCCACGTGGCTTCGGGGGTCCCTGCGCTTCTCGCTCACTGATTGGCTGGAACCGCTTCCGTTGCTGCAGTAACCGCGCGGCGTCCCGCAGCCGTTGCTGGGTCTGGCGGCGCCATGAACAGGAAGAAGCTGCAGAAGCAGGCGGAGGCGCTGAACCGCGGCGCCAGGCACTGTGAGTCCCGTCCCCCACCACCACCCCGCTCCACCCCCGCTCCCGAGGGCCCTGGGGCCGCTCGGCCTGGCCGGACCTCCCGTAGGGGCGGGGGCGCGTCCGCGCCTTTCCTCGGCCAGGCCGGACCGTGACTTGTGCCGCGCTGTGCCTGTGCGCAGTCCGCCGGCCCGAGGTGGAGTGTCTCATCCGGCTCTTCTACACGCTGGTGCCGGAGGCTGGCGAGCGCCGCGGCGCCGCGGGGCTGGACCGCAACGCCTTTCGCAGCGTCCTGCACCTCACCTTCGGCATGACCGACGATATGATCATGGACCGAGGTGAGGCCGCACCCCAAGGGGGTACAGGGCAGGCAATCCTCCTTCCCTCCCCCCGCCGGGCGCCTCAGCCTGCAGGTGATTTCCGGGCCGCAGCATCAGGACCCTGCACCCCGCCGGATCCCCCGCTGCAGAGGCGCTGGGGGGATTCCGCTCCAGGCTTCAGCATGTGGGGAAGCCCCAGGGCTGCCCTGCAACAGGCAGCCTCCCTTCAGCTAGGGAGGCGGCTTGCCGGGCCGCTTCACTTGGCCACCTTGGCAGCCAGAAAAGCTTCAGAACTGTGGTGTGTGATACATTCACTTAAAGCCTCTGGAGATTTCCCAAGTTGGCTTCTTCTCCTTCAGGTGTGCTCCTGCAAAAGCACTGGATGTTCGTAGCTGGAAATTGAAAGAAGCTGCATGTAAACGGTTCCTGTAGTAGCCCAAGGATGCTGCAAATATGATTTTGGTTGGGAGGAGGTGCAGTGGTGGCAGCAGTATGCGCAGCTGAAAATATTTCTTATGACATGGGCTGCATAGTGACAAAGTGTTTTGATAGTCTTTGTAGATAGCAGCTTTTTAAAGGGCAGTAAACTGACATGTCAGTTCTGAGGATGGCCACTTTCCTCACACCAAAGGGATGAGGAAAGGGTCATGTGCAGGTGCTGTCATACAGGAAACGGTTCATCAGAGGAAGATACTGAGCAGACATCGCTGTGGGAATCACTGTCAACACCACTTCCCTAAGGAAACAGTTGATAAATGGAGTGATCGTGCTTTCTCCAATGCTGGAAGAGGTATTAGTAGAAAAGAGAGTGGTAGTGAGCTGTGTTAGTCTAAAGTCAGGCAGAAGTCAGGGTAGAGGTGCACCTTAGACTAATTAAATTGGAGATGTATAAGCATCCTTGAGCCTAGACTTCATCTGATGAAGTAAGCTTAGCTCCCACAAAAGCATCTTTTAATCTATTAGTAGAAAAAGCCACTGTTGTCTCTGTAGTGGGACATGATACTCTTGTAAGCAAACATTGCTGCCCCTAGTCTTCAGCTTAGACATGCTGGAGACAGAGGCCATTTGGCACTGCAGTGTCCGAACAGCTCTTCTGGAGCAGGGGTACTGAGAGCAGACTGATACGGCAGTCTGGCTGAAACAAGTTAGGTTTCTATCCTTCTCTTGACACAGGAGTGATGGATAAGTGTTAACACACTAAAGTTTATTTTCTTCCCCAAACCGTAGTGTTGAGGGTTTGGCTGCTTGGGGGGAGAACTACTGTATTGGTATATAGGTAGGGTGACCATAGGTCCCACTTTGGCCAGGACACTCCAGGATTGTGTAGCTTGGTCCCAGATGGTTGGTCAGAAGTCACGGGCCAGAGTCCAGCAGGGAGGTGAAGCAGCGTGGTGCACCAAGGCAGGTGGCTAGACAGGAGCAGCGGTATGGTCACCTCACGTATAGGGGCTTATAGGAGGGTACTGAAGCAGCTTGAGCCTGGCACTTCTCAACACCAAGTCACTAAGGGGAGATTTCCAAGGAGGGGTGCCAACCTGGATCTAACTCTTCTCATCACATGGAAGTGCTGGGGAGAAGTTTCTGAGGAGAATAAAATTGTAGAGGCAAAATTAATGGACTCTTAATTGTAGAGAGCTTTACTTTATAGCCAAGGTCATATTTTCATGTAATTTGTGTGTTATTTTAATTTTACTACAACATAACAAGGGTGATGCTGTTGCTGTGACTAATCTTGCAAGTAATTTTGAAGTGTTAATTAGTAAAATGAAAAGAAAAATAGAAATGCTTCGTACTATCAAGGACTGCACTAACTGAAAAGTTACAAACAGCAGCTTGTTGCTAGTTTGCACATGAAAAAAATACTGGTTTATGCGAGACTGGAAAGTTGTCAAAACATGCACTTAAAAAAAAAAAAGGGGGGGGGGGGAAGGTGAGCTAGATTTCCTGATTGATGTTGTCCATTGCAGCCTAAAACAAACCATTCTAATTGAAGTCTTTATATGTCTTCACTGCTGGCTCCTCCTCTTAGGCTTTTATGGAATTTGTGATGCTTTACTGGAGTGCTGTCAAGCCAGCAAAATGATGCGTCAGATAACAAGATAAAATGGCTATATCAGCAGGGAAGATCTAGATGTATCCTATTTGATATATTCAGGATTTTAAATCTCTTAACTAGGCCTTTGGATGACTGCCACATATGAGCATGTAAGTTACCACTAGGCAGGCAAGCTGGGCACTTACAATTCATCAGCTATTCTGCAGTAACAGTTTAAGCATAAGCTGCTTTGCATTCACTGGGTGCATCCACACAGGTAAGCACATGCGCTTGCAGCTCAAATAGAAGCAGTGCAAATTTGAGCCAGGGTCTTTTGCTTCAGCGCACGTGCTAAGACATGCACTTTGGTGTGAAGTAAATTGTGCCACTTGGGGCAAAATAACCCTGCCTGGCTCCTCCCAGATCTGCAGTCAGGGGGAGCTGGAGCCCAGGGCCAGCACCTGTGCTGTCCCCAGCAATATAAAAAGCTGCTCTGGCAAGTAGCTCAGGGCTACTAGCTCTCAGGAGCTTCTGGGGCCCAGCCAATTGGTACCTGGGGACACTATCCCTAGTGCCAGCTGGACTGCTGAAGCAGCCCTTAGAGTTCCCTGCACCCTCTACCCACTGCAGCAGTCTGGCAGTGGGGGCTGCTGCCTGACTGTGACCTTCTGTGGACCTACCAGACCTGGATGGGGACTGCAGAGCCAGTAGAGGCATCTGCCCCTCTGGGCCAGCTGCTGGTGGACCGTGGTTGCAGGGCTGGCCTCTGTATGGCACTACTACCATGTGTGCCCCTTGCCCAGCCATCGCCTAGATGTTCCAGGTGTGGTGGCCGGCTTTGAACTATCAAAGTATGTCCTCCTGGCCCCATCTGGCCAGGAGGTCAGTCACAGCCAGCTGGGTCTAAGGTGCCCCTCTGAGCAGGCAGGGTCCTGCCACTGGCCTCCCTAGCAGGAATTCTGGTGTTCCCTATTGGAAAACTGAAAAATCCCTGATAAAAAAAATCCCAAAGTCACTGTGTAAAATACCCCCAAATCCATGTTCCTCCACAAGTAAAACAAAAGACCACTATAAAGAGAGAGAGAGAGAGCAAGACGGAGACAGCGATCAGTTGGACAATGTTTTATTGATATATCTACAGTGGTAAAGCAAGTCTCTTATCATAATAATAAAGTGAACTCTAAGTACATGTTTCATGAATACACGTTTTGCTGCACTCCCACAAGGGGTCTGGCCCCAAACAAGTGGTTCAGCCCCCTAATGGGGGGCTCAGCCCCCACACTAGGTACACCCCCCAATGGGAGCCAAATGGTTCCCCAGGGGCTACCACCCCCCCTGCAAGGCCCACATGCACCCCCAACTGCTGACCCCCCCCCG